TATTAAAAAATGTTGATAACAAAGAAGAAAATAATTACTTTTCTGTTTGAGGAATAATTTAAAATTCTGTGTTTCGTTCTTTAATAATATAAAAAGAAATCGTAAAAGTAAAATGATCTTTTCTCTTTGACACTTCTAGCAAATACTACCTTAGCTTCTTACGTCTTTCAATAACCTTGCATGCTCTTGATAGTCCCTGTGGGGCGTAGTCATCTTTCCTAGAAAGAGGCGCCTATTCGAGTTCCATATGGGTTGTCGAGCACCTCCGAGTACTCCAATTTTCTCTATTGAACGCGTCAGTCTACTTTGGTTTCCGGCTTGTTTTCAGATACTTACTACGTACACACATGTATACATAAATACGTACACAGAACTCGACTGTATTCTAAAGAAACATCTCGAAAGGGAAAAGAGGAGATTCGTAATCCGAGTTACAAACTCATTTCGTTATGAAAAAAAATAATTCGTTAATAATCATACTTAAAATATAAATGAATAGAAATTGTACAAACAATTTATATCAGAAATTATTTTGGAAATATTTAATAATATTCATTACATTATATTACGTTTCGTTGATATAAAGTATTATTCAATATGGATTTTTTAAAAAAAAAAACTATGCGTAATTTAAAACTGCTTATTATTTATTTGGACGAATAAATTTAACGAATTCAGAGAAACATTGCATTTCAAAAGAATTATAATGTATTATAGTCATTTGGGACATTATTACATTATGAAAATCTTTAGGATCATATGTTAAAACTAGAAAACAGTGAAAAAGGACTTTAATAATATAATGCACACTGTGAGATATTCTTTGTAACAAACAATAGTATCATAAATTGTTCTCAAACAAAGCGGCTTAATGTTCAAAAGGTCTCAGCTGACTTTTCACAACAAAGCTAAACTATGTTTTGTTAAGCATTCATAGTACTACAAAAACGCTTTGCATATTTCAAAAAAGTTCGTACAATAAGATCTCTTTTTTTTAACAGCATATTGTTCCTTAAATTTCCAGTTTGACGCAACGCGTCTAAGGATTCTATAGTAATTATTCTACAAAGAATTTTATTATACCGTCAGACATTTGCGCAACTGTCTATCTCGACCGAATCTGTCGTAACACTTTTACCAGAACTCGTCAATGGGATCGTATCACGTAAGCTCGCCTAAACGATCGGTCGCTTATCACGATCCCGTGTAACGTCGCGCCGGATCGGTTAAACCGCTCGGCCCGTAAGAACGGGAATTGGCGAGGAGCTGGGAAGACGGAACTGCACGCGATCCAACATGCCGATTATCCTGATCGATCGTCAAGTAATTTCCGGTCGTGGGTTCTCCAACTTTGGCCACGTGCCCGACGTGCTCCTGCTCCCACCGTGAATCTGCGTACAGTCCCCTGACGACGATAAATGGTTTTCTCGGTTTCACCGTCGGGGCCACGCCATGGCGAACGAATCGGCTTAACCGCGCTCCGCCCGGTAACGGGCCACGAAGAAACTTCCCTTCGTTTTCGTCGACGCGCGTCGCGTAATTTCAATTGTTAGCTACCGCGACGCGATGGTTCCGGAACGTTCCAGTTGCTCGAGCAACCGTGTCAAGTCGAGTAATTCTGGTGCGTTCGCAATTTGCGACGGGATACGGGTATCGGTGGGGGTCGATTCAATGCTTTAAAGTTGCGCTCCCGCGTTTGATGAAATGACTTCCGATTGTCGAGGGTTTCATTAACAGACTTCTAGATCGGTAATTAATTTAGACCTCCTCGTTGCTGCCGAATTATTGTGAGACAAATAATTTATGCAACGGAAGAATTAATTATCACCTTTTACTAAAGAATTTATATTGCACTTTATTGTTAAGCTACGAATGGTATTATGGAAAATGAAGTTATCAGTCATTTTCGATGTCTGTAGGATAAACTTTTAGTCGCGAGTGTATATCTGATTGCATTATGGGAAAGAACCCTCTTTACATTCACGATACTTCTCGTGTCAACTGAAAAGCTGCCTCATGCATAATTCATGCAGGTGCTTCAGCTTGCTGTATCTCGAACAGAAAGAAAACAGTTTGAGGACCATTCTGATTACCATGATTTCTTTCTTATTGCAATTCATTTAAGATTGCAACAATTCTCTGATGTTCATATAAATGATCTCAGATCGAAATTCAGTAGAAAATATCGATACACTTTACAATTTTATAATCATTTGTAATAAATGAATCTCAAAATATAGTCAGATCATTTTATTCTCATGTTTTGAAATAAAATAATTATTAAATATTTGTATGTAAAGTCAACAATTTTTGGTTTAACTTAGGCACAAGCTGCGCTGATGTACGATGCCGTGTTTGTCCTCGTCGAGGCGTTCAACAAGTTTCTGAGGAAAAAAACGGACAGAAGCAACGTAAGAAGAACCGGAGTTCCTGGCAGCAGTCAGATTACCAATGGCACCAGGGCACTCGATTGCAACAGCAGCCGGGGTTGGGTGACAGCGTTCGAATACGGCGACAGAATTTCCAAGTTACTTAGAAAAGTGAGTAAACATTAACCCATTCTTGAATATTTTAAGAAATATTTTATGAGAATGATTGGCTTAATCTCTCGTTATTTAAAATGATTTTAATTACTCAATAAATGTTTTATTGATAAAATAGGAATTAATGTATAACTTTAAATTAAATGTATATACTTTATATACTTAGTAGAAATTATGACAATATTTATGACTTGGACAGTCACGAGTAATTTTTGTTTAATCTTGGGTCACATTTGTAAATTGAGAAAAATTGATATTCTGTAACAATAGCACGATAAACGAATTTCTCGATCCTTTTCAAAAATAATCTTGCGATAACGTCTGGCATACCATCTTTACATGATTGTTCGCTCATGCGTGGAATTAATATCGGCACCAGCTAGGTTCCTGGCAGACGCGTTGTCGATGTCAGACGAGGTGACAAGACCGTGCAGATCTATCGACGGCGATCCATTCTGACGGTTCTTAAAGCGGCCCGTTAGAAACCCAGAAATACTTGATATGTTTCGAATACTCGTGGCAACCGAAATTGTCAGCGACCTTTCCCGACGTCTCTCTGTCGCTGACAGTAATTGACGGTTATTCCGACTCTAACGGCATTCCTCTGTCCACGTCAGATCGTCTCCGTTCGTTCCGTCGTGTATGTACACGGGTACATGCACACATACATGCTCTACAGTTACACCGGAAGTGACGGTCTCTTCTCTCTTTTCTGTCTGCCCAGCTCTTCGTCGGTTTGTCGGTTGACACGAGAACGGACGCGAGAATCTGCCAATAACAGCAGGTTCATTACCAATTTCAGAGACCCCAATTTTTTTTCTGATGCTGCACATGAAAAATAAGAAGGGTCTAACAATTTTAAACAGCCGGCTTTTTAAGAATTCACCGATATTTGATATGTGAAACGAGACGTATAGCTTTCGACCTTATTATTACTTTTATTGCGTATTTATTACTGTGCATTATAATTAATTTCACTGTTATTATTTTATTGTAACGGTTTTGTTCAGTACTTGATATTAAATGAATTAAACACACATTAAGGTGCAATATTATAATATTAAATGCAATTGGAAAATGCGTAGCACACAGAAGTGAATTGCATTTAATTTTCTCTTATTCGTCGAAGCATGTGTTTAATTAATTTTATATATGGAAAGCACTTAAATGAAAACTGTTTTAAAAGAGGCGGAAATAAAAATCACCATGTTTCAAGTATTGCGAAAGATACAAAGCCGGATTAATGATTCGCATTTAACTTTCAGGTGGAAATCGAGGGGCTAACGGGGGAGATCCGCTTCAACGATGACGGTCGCAGGCACAATTACACCCTTCACGTCGTCGAGATGACGGTCAACAGCGCCATGGTGAAAGTAAATACTTTTTTTCGCGCAACAAACCCAGGACCGTGTCCAACCCCTTCATCCCTTTTTCATGCATCGGCCGACCCGACCCGACTTCTCTCGCCCGCGGTCAAAATACAATCTGACAGTTTCGCGAAATTTTACAGCGCGCGAAAACTTGTAAAATAAAAAAAGCGCTTTTCATTCCTCGTTTCACGCAATTTTATCTACTCTCCGACTTGACAACTGGTTCGATGATTTTTTGGGGAAACAATGAACGTATCAATTATCGCACTTCAATATCAGTCTTGTAGCCCAATTAAAATTATTGACACATTTAACAATTGATCATTTGATAAATCATTATTCCACGTAATACGAAGAGGATTGATTTCTACTAGTATTTCTTACAATCTTCGTAATTAATTCTATTTCCAATTATTGAGTTTTCAGTCAGTTTGAGTTTTCAGTTAATTATTCTTGATTCCTTTTTCAAGGTGGCGGAATGGACGGACCAGTCTGGATTCCAGACCATCGCAGCGAAATATATTCGACTCCGGCCGCACGAAATCGAGAAGAATAAGACTTATATCGTAACCACCATCGTGGTAAGTAATCAGTGCACTTAGTTAAAGTAAATGTGCATTAAATTCATTGGGAAAATAGTAACATTTATTTTTTTTATATAGGAGGAACCGTACATTATGAGGAAAAAACCAGAGAATGGAGAAATATTGACTGGAAATGACCAGTACGAGGGATACTGCAAAGACCTGGCTGATCTCATAGCGAAAAAGCTGGGAATAACGTGTAAGTAATTTTCATACATCCTTTTTTATATAAAATATAAAATATAAGTTCATGTAATATTTCATAAAACGAATGTTCTTGATATCAAGTATCCACGTTTTTTCATTACAAGAAATTTTTCATTGTATAGATTTAACAAGCCTTGCCCTTTGCATTCATATAATTTGACACATGCAGATACCCTCATGATTCAATAAGTATTAATTAAAAATTTGATGTGTTTTCAGACGAGTTACGAATAGTAAAAGATGGGAAATACGGAATGGAAAATCCAGACGTGCCCGGTGGTTGGGATGGCATGGTTGGCGAATTGATTCGTAAAGTACGTTTCCACGTGTTAA